GGACGCGATGCCCTTCTCTGGCTGCGGGGCCGGGTCCCTCCTCCCTGGGGGCGGGTCGGCCCTTTTAAAGCCCCGCAACGAGCGGGCCGGCGCTGCTCACCCGTGTGCGTGCAAGGGGCGTGTGCGGGGCTGCCCGGGCCCGAAGCATCGCGGCTCAGCAAGCGCCGGTGTCGGGAAGGAAAAGCGGAGCAGCAGCCTCCCCTGCCCTAGGCCTTTTATGCAGCTGGGTTTTGGTCCTTGTCCTGGTGAGCTGACTGCATAAGCGCGGCTCAGAAGAGATCCTGCCCTGGGCGGTGTTGCTGAGGCTAATTCCTCTCTCTCCCTGTTTGCTAATGCCGGCTCTGGTATGCAGGGCTCAGGTCTGTTTTTTTCCGGTCTGCTTTACGGTGGTGAATCATCCTTGAATGAGAAACGCACCCAGGGCACTCTTGCCTTTCCCTCCTCCCCATGGTCAGGCAAATCCTGACCCTAAGAGCTGGAGCCTGAGGTGCTCTGGCCTGAGGCTGCTCCTGGGAACCCTTTAGTTACTGTGCCTGGGGCTGTGTAATGGCTGCTGCAGTGTTTCTGATCTCCTCTGTCCAGGCTGCGAGCTGACTGCCACTACCAAATCCTACACCTTTCAGGTGGATAAGGAAGATGACTCTGACCACATTTTGGCCTTGTCTATGGTAAGATAAATAAGAATTAGCTGTGCTTGTCCTCTCCCGTTGTGGCATACAGCCTCACCCCCTGCCTTCCCAGGCTCATTTCCCCTTCCCTGGCTGTGCTGAACAGACTCCCTTGGCTGAGGTATCAACTTTGGCTGCTCAGAGGGCTGGGCACAGGACTTGTCACAGGAGGTGCTTGAGCAAATCCAGTGAAATCAGGAGGCTGGTCAGTGGAGTAATACTGCAGACATGGGGTGAAGGAAGTTTTTTTTCCTTGTATTTGACCTTTCTGGAGCCTCCTGCCAGAATGTGCCCTCCTCACCAGCTGGGTCTCTAGCCTGTTGCTCTCCAAGCCCAGGCAGAGCTTTATTCATGGCTGTCCTTGGGGATCACTTTCTGTCCTGGGAACATAGGACCTGCCAGCATGGATGAATTCAACAGGAAGTGCAGCCCAGGGATCAGCTATTGAGACCATTGCAGGAATAGCCGTCCCAGCTGGGAAAGACACATTGCTCCTCTGCAGGCACCCACATACCAAGGGGGCAATCACTACGTTGGGGCTCTGCACTGTTTTGTAGAGCAGCACCCTCACACCTTGCATGGCAGCTGGGCTGGTAGCATTACTGTGGGTCACTTGACGCATAGAGAGACCTGGCTGTCCCTGCTGTGTCCTCTAGGAGAGTAGGAGTTAACAATCTTTGCTCCCATCCAGGTCTGTCTCACAGATGGTGCCAAGGACGAGTGCAACGTGGTGGAGGTGGTTGGACGAAACCATGAGAACCAGGAGATTTCTGTACCTGTGGCAAATCTGAGGTTATCGTGCCAGCCCTTGGTAAGAGGTTATTTTAAAGACTTGGGTGGGAATGGCTGCAGGGAAATGGGTCTCTCTGGATGTTTGTGGATCTTTCTCCTGGGATCTGATCATCAGCTATTCTGCAGCTCATGGCAAAATGTTGTGGGTAGCCTTGGCCTGACTGCAGAGGCCCCCAGAAGAACATGTTTAGCTGTGCCAGGTGTGGTGTTAGGGACTTCAGGACATTCTACCTTTTGGCTCTGCCACTAACTCAGCTCCATCTCTGTTTCTTTGCAGCTGAGTCTGGACAACTTCAAACTGCAGCCTCCAGTGACCTTCCGCCTGGCAGCAGGCTCTGGCCCAGTACACCTTGCTGGCTGGCACCAGATCAGTAAGGATTTGTGTGGGGAAAGGCTTGGAAGGAGCAAGGGGTATGGAGGGGCTCCCTCCAGCATCAGTGCCAGCAAGGGACCCACTAAGAGATGCATTTGGTCCCTCGTCATGCCTCCTTTGTGTTGGTTCCCCAGGGGCCACCTCTGCAGTAACTCCTTCCCTGCCATAAAGCCCTGCATAGGAAAAGGGATCTGGATGACCCACACTGTCCCTTTTTCCCACAACTGGCTGTTGTCATTCCCCTCTGAGACTGCCCTCCAGCTGGGATACAGCTTATTGCCCACCAGCTGCTGTTTAACTGTTTCAGTGTTCCCTGGGCTACTCTGCTCTTGAGATGTCTAGGGGCTCAGTTGTTATTGCCAAAGTTATACACTGTTAAGAGTTATTTGTGTGTCCCAGTGCACAGGGAAGATGCTTCCTTTGAGGAGGATGATGACTTGTCTGAGGAAGAGGAGGAGGAGCTTCCTCCTATCATGCCAGCCAAGAAGTAGAGGAAGAAGCAGTAACTTCTCTCCAGGCAAGGTGAGGGGCTGGGCAGCCTTAGGGGCTGTGACACTGATGAGGCAAGTGTGAGTGGAAGCTGCCCTGCTGCAGAAGGCTGCTGGTCTCAATCTGGTTCTTTCTTCAGGTACTCACTGGGACTTCTCTCCCTGGATGGCTTTTACCTTGAACACCTCTTGCCAGGACCTCAACGTTTGCTGCTTTGTGTTTATTTTTTATTTTTTTCTGTTGTAAGTTTTCGGGGAGCAAGGGCTGCTCCAGGCACTGTGGTGTCTCCTTTCCCGCAGTCCTGGGAGTTTGATCCCAAAACTGGATGGATGCTGCTGGTATATTCCCTCTCCCCCATCCCTCTGCTGGGAGTCAGGGATGGAGGAGGTGATCCTTGCCCTGTGCATTTTTTTGTCCTGGACCTCTGCTCTGTCCACCGCTGGGACAGGCACTTTCACTGATTCTAGTGTGTTTTGGTTTGGTTTTTTTCTTTAGTCACAATTTGATCGTTTTTATACACAGCTTCTAAGTGTGAAACTGGGGCCCAGGCAGGGTCCTCCACTGCAGTTACGGTGGGGTGGGAGCTCACAGCCTGTCTGTGATTTGGGGTGAGGTTCTGGGTCACTCTTTGTAAAGAACTGGTTTTACACTCTCAATAAAAGTTTCTCAGCCATCAGGTCTGGAAGGGAGTCACTGCTGGCTGACAAGTTCTTCCCCAGCACACTTCAGTGGGAGATGCTCCTCCTTGTCCACTCCCTGACACTTGATTCCCTTGGCAGTGCTGTGGATCTCTCAGGAGGGGTCTAGGGGTTCCTTTCTGTCCCTTGTGGGCTTTGCACTCTTGTACCCCATGAGCCAGCTCAGCACTGCATCCTGGCTACCAAGGGAAGGGGCAGAGTTGCAGGCAGCAGTAAGTGCCATGGATCCAGCTCCACATGTGCTCCCAAAGGTGTAACCCACCTGTTAGCAACACCGCCCTGGTTTGGGCCACATTGGCCCTGGTACCGGGCACTGCCACAGCAAGGTCCTCACTTGTGTCTTCCTCGCAGCCCAGCAGCATCCTGTGGAGGGGTAAAACAAATTCCTGCAGGGGGTGGGGCAGATTTGAGTTCTAACTTCTGAGGAATCATGTCACCCTGTGTCTGAATACCTGGAGAGGGTTTGATCTTCTCTGTGCTTCAATCACGGGGCACTTTTCACTCCTGGGGGCTAGTCCTGCCCTAAAATGTGTCTCTAGTTGTTTTCCTGTGTTTGATCTTGCATCCCTGGGTTCTTGCCTGTCCCAGCCCTTCTTGTTTGTGACACTGCCTATTGTCACTGATAAGTACCATGTACTATCTGCCTTGCTGGCCCAGTTGGTGCCTTGAGACTGTGAGTTTCTGTCTTTTGTGGACTCCGGTAGGAAATCCTCCAAGGTGGATCCTCAGTCCAGGATGCATCTTAGGTAGTAAGTGGGGCTGTTTTTCTTTTCTGGGGTCTCTGCAGCTACTCTCCACATCTCTACTATTTCCTTCTGGCCCCCAACAGCCCTTGGCCAGCACAGAGGGAGGCTTTGATGCCCCTTGCAGCAAAGGGAAAAAGACTATTGGCATCCCAGCAGCGTGGCATGGGGGAATGCCAACAGAGAAGGGCCGCCCTGGGGTAGATGATCCCCGGCTTGATGGATGGTCCCCCGCAGCGCCGGGGGAGGACGCCGAGGGGCTGGGAGAGGAGGCGGGGCTGGCAGGTCCCCCCAGGGGGGCCACTAGGTGGCAGGCGGGCAGCGCTGTGGCCCGGCCAGGGGGACCGGGGTCCTGCCAGTCCCCGGCCTCTCCTTGTCTTCCTCCTGATCTCTGCCTGGCTGCCCGTCCCTGCCAGGCCCATGCCTGCACCAGGGCAGGGTCTGGGCAGCCCCTGGGATGCAAAGGGCATCCAGCGCTCTGCTGCAGGGCCATGCATGGAGCAGAGTGCTTGGGTCTGGCTCTGTGATGAGGATGGGTGCAGGCTGGGAGATGTCACGTCCCCAGGGAAGTAACATTCCTTCTGCCATCCTACAGCATCCCACAGCCTGGGGCTGTCAGTCTGTGCCCATGCCCATAAGCACTGTGAGATCCCCCAGCAAATCTGGGGAAGTTTGCAATTCAGCAGCATTGCTGAATGAAGAAGAGATGCAGGAGCATCATTCCTGAGGGCTGGATGTGCTTGAGAAGTGCTAGTCAGGCACAGGGCTGGTGGTGACAGAGAGGAGTTCAAGATGGTGAATTGAGTTGTGGTCGTGCCTGTGCCAGGATGGTGCTCACCCCTGCTAGGGCTGACATGCACAGGACCCCACAGATCTCCCTGGCTGTGTGCACGTGGAGGGGTCAAGACCAGTTTATCTGCCAGGCCCTTGTCCTGCTTTGTCTGTGGAGGAGCAATTTGGCTAGATGAAATAAGCCAGTAGATCATTTTTCAGAAGGTGCTACTGGAAAGTTGGGCTTAGGGAGGCTGCTGGCTTGAAACCCATCAGAGGGTGATGAGAGGAATGAGTGGGCACAGCTCAGCCCTGGTGGTATGGCTGCTTGACATGAAGTGGGAGCAGCAGTGCTGGCTGATGAGAAGAAACTGAAGGGTAGGAGGAGGCAGTTTTAGGGTGCTGGGTAGCTGGGACAATGTGGCAGGAGGAATAAGTTCTGCCAGGGGACAAAGGTGACACCATGGAGGAGGCTCAAGGAGACCAAGTTTGTCCACCCCTCTGCAGGACCAGCCCATCTCAGGGCTTTGTTGCAGGTGCTGCCTGGTCCCCAACATCGCTGCAGAGTGATTGCCAGGGGAGGGGAACACCTCAAGCCCAGAGTGGGCAACAGAGAGTCTGGGAGGTGTTGGAACCGCCAGGCCCCTTTCTGAGTGACTTGGGGAGGTTTACTCCCCCTTCCCCAGCAATGTCACAGCCTTGATGTGCTCAGCTTGGGGAGAGGGAGATAAATGCTGAGATGGCAGGCGGCCGGGAGGGGGGATGCGCTTGCACACAGCGTTTAATGGGGAAGGATGGGATTACAGGGGTCACGCTAGGTGAGCAGCTTCCTTCGCAGAGCTGATGGTATCAAAGCAGGTGCCCCCGGCTGCAAATACCTTGGGCAAACAAACAGGGCTGTCTAAGAGCAGGTGAGCTCCAGCAGGGCTGGCTGGGGGGTGTTCAGGGGTGGTGGGGGACGGGGGGCAAGAGGCTCTCTGTGAGTGGAGAGCAAAGCATGGGGCTCCAGATGTGAGGCCTGTCTTGTTTTGCGTAGACTGGGGGGAAAAATAAGTTATGTGTCTATGTATATATGTGAGCTCCCCGTGCTGAAGATGCATGTAAGGGTGTGGAGCCTATTGCTCTCCCATAGAGTGGTGGAGGTGCTGGTACCCAGGGCACCAAATTGTGCCACAACCCAGGTGGTGGCTCTGGGGTTGCTCCGGAAGGTGGTTGGCTCTGAGCATCCTTCCTCTCTGTGGCATTTCAGTGCCCTGCATGCAGACATTACTGGAGATGGATCCCTACTCATTCTGGCAGTACTGGGGAACTCTGACCATGACTGAGCCACGCAGCAGAGAAACGTGGCCATAGCATGGCTAGATGTAGAGATCACCATGCATGAACACTATGGCCAGGCACCCACACTACCACACTCTCCATGGCCCTCCCAAACTGGCCTTCTGTGCTCCGTGAGTGGCCTGGGCTGCTTGCTGAAGGGTCTGGCCCGGGAGCAGCCCTGCTGGGCTGGGGCTTGGCTGTCTACCTCCATCTGGGTGTCTGGGCCAGGCCAGTGGCCCACAGAGGATGGTCTGGTTTCAGAGATCAGGTTTGAGTTGGTTTTCAGGGATGGAGGAACAGGATGGGGAGCTGCTCTGCTGAGGCTGAGCGTGGCCAGGCAGTGGTTTTCCTTGTGGTGCCCTAGCTGGTCCTGTCCCAACAGTTTTCATGCTGGGTTTCAACTCTCCCTGACGGAGAGCTCGGCCCTAGGGCAGCTGAGAGGCACAGCTGTAACCGTGCTGTAGGTGGGGCTGGTCCCCTGCTCCATGAGCTCTCTGTTGCTGGTTCCCACGCTGAACCGGGATAATACTACTTTTCTGTGAGCCTTGATGTCTGCGCGATGGAGGAAGCCAGTGGGACATCCCGGGAGATGCAGCATCCCCTGTTAACTCGGGGTGCAGCAATTCTGCGAGGTGGAGCAAAGAGCTGTGGGATGCCTGGTGTGTCACTGACAGCAGGAGCCAGGAAAGGGTCAGCAGAGCCACCTGCAGCAAGGACCAGGGTGGTGGTGGGTGTGATGAGTGTCCAGTTCTCTGCAGTGTGAGCTGACTGTGCTATCCTTGTTCTGTCCTGCCGGGCAGTGGTACCTTTGTTGTGGCCTCAGGGAGCCACTGGCACCCTAAATCACAGAGCTGGCCATGGCAAAGCTGAGCTGGGAACACACTACAATCAGGACAGGAAGCAGCAGGATCTGGAATGGCCAGGCTGGTGGTAATTCCCATTGTCTTCCTATCAACACACCTTGCAGGGGGAAATGCTGCTGGTGCAATGTGTGGGAACAGCTCTGTCTGCTGGAGAAGCTGAAACTAAGTTCTCTGGTCATCTCCTGCTCAGTCATGTGTTGGGTCCACCCAGCGTGCCTGAAGCTGTCTGGGAGCCTAGACATGCACATGTTCACCTCATCATCTGCTTTGCAGTAGGAGAAGTTCCTTCAGCTCTCATCTCCACAGTGGGTGCTGGTGGCTGATTTACCATGGTGGCTACCAGCTACATGTTCCAGGTTGCTTATCACCAGGCTCTGCTCCAGGCATTTGCAGGCTGCAGTAGCTGCTCAGTGTGTCTACCTGCAGTGGGGACGTGTGTCCCCAGCTCCACAGCACTTCCCAGAATACAAGAGGCAGTTGTTTCCCTGAAGGTGCTGCTGTGGCAGCTGTGGCTTTATGGTCTGTAGTGGAGGCAGAGAAGAAGGTGCTGGAAGAGCACAGGGTGACACCAGAGCAAAGCTTGTGCTATGAGTTGGGTTTAAACCCA